AATCTACGCGCCCTCAACGCACATGTGGTCTATCGCCACTTCAAGATGGAGGGCATCCACCTCCTGCGAGACCTTCTTCGAAGCAACGACTGGTTCACCAGGCTCGATTTGAAAGATGCATATCTGTCAGTCCCGGTGCACCCGGACTGTCGAGCACTCCTACGTTTCCTCTGGCACGGACGCTCTTGGCAATTCACTTGCCTCCCTTGCGGGCTCAGCTCAACCCCATGGTGCTTCACCAAGCTTCTAAAACCAGTGGTGGCCCACCTGAGATCCAGGGGCATTCGATGCATCATCTACTTAGATGACCTTCTCCTCTTCTGCTCCGACGAACGCAGACTACGCCAACACACTCACTTGGCAGTGTCCCTACTGGAATCTCTGGGTTTCGTGGTGAACCAACCGAAATCGGAGCTGACCCCTACTCAGACAATACAGTTCCTCGGCTTCGAGATCGACTCAACGACATGCACTCTGAGACTACCAGCCTCAAAGATTACAGCCATTCGCAAGGAGATTCGCAGGGTTCTCCGTCTCGACTCCATTCCACTACGCAACCTGGCCAGGATTGTAGGACTCCTCTCTGCTTCCATTCAAGCCATATTTCCGGGTCCCCTCCACTACAGGGCCATGCAACGTCTCAAGGCGAAATACCTACGTCACAGACCTACTTACGACCAACCCGTTCCGGTGACGACGGAGGTTCGCGAAGAACTATCATGGTGGCTGGACAGCATGCAAGCCTGGAACGGCAAGGCCATATTCGGAGACACCCCAGACTTCGTATTGGAATCAGACGCCAGCCTGTGGGGATGGGGTGCCACCAACGGAACCATCTCCACGGGAGGAACATGGACGGCATAGGAGCTCTCCATGCACATCAATTGCCTCCTTCGCGATCCGCAGCCTGGCCCGGGAAAGATCCAACTGCTGCACCCTCCTGCGCATGGACAATGTCTCCGCAGTCCAGTACATCAACCGTCTGGGAGGTGCTCGCTCACGCCTGCTGTCGGATATCACAAGGGACATCTTCGACTATTGCCTCCCTCGCAACATCACGCTTCAGGCGGAATACTTACCGGGAGAAATCAACCTCACAGCCGACTGGTTCTCTCGCCACTGGAGAGACGCCAGCGACTGGAAGCTAAACACGAGAATCTTCAGGGCCCTGACAGCCCGGAGGGGTCCCTTTCACCTGGATCTGTTTGCCTCTCGCAACAATCACCAGACCCCGGAGCTCTTCAGCTGGCTCCCGGACCCGGAGAGCAAGGCGACAGACGCATTTCTCCAACAATGGCCGATGACAGGAGCCTACGCCTTTCCCCCATTCTCCATGATTGCGAGAACACTACACCAGATGCGGACGCAACAGATCAAACTGGTTGTCATAACGCCCTTGTGGCAGAGCCAACCATGGTTCCCGGACCTCCTGGCCTTCTCCTACAGGGACCCTCTCCTCCTACCATCCTTCCCGGACCTGCTCACGGATCCCAAAGGGTATCTCCACCCACTACTCCTGGAAGACCCTGGTGGCTTGGTCTCTTTTCCCCTGGTGGCTTGGTCTCTTTCCGGGGTTCCTGGCGAGTCAGCAGACTATCGCAGGCTGCTAGGGACCTCTTATGGGACTCATGGGCCCCGGAAACTAGACGCTGTTACCTTTCAGCTTGGGCCTCCTGGTCTACTTGGTGCATGGAACGGGACTCCGATCCCTTTACAGCACCTATTCCCATGATTCTTAATTTTCTTTCCTCCTTGTTTTCATCTGGCCGCTCTTACCGTTCGGTCAACGGCGTTCGCTCCGCGATTTCGGCGGCTCACACCCCCGTCGGGGATCTCCCGGTCGGCAAAGACCCTCTGGTCTGCCGTCTACTCCGCGGTATGCGGCTCCGCCGCCCCCCGGCCCCCGGCCCCCAGATACCCTCACCTATGGGATGTAGGACCAGGTTCTCCGTTTTTTCAGGGATTGGCTTCCGAATGACCGCCTCTCCCTACGCCAACTATCCGCTAAGTGCGCTTTTCTCCTTTGCCTAGTATCTTTCCGACGGGTTTCGGACGTTCGGGCCTTCGACATGGACGCTTTCGAGGTGGCCCCGGAAGGGGTCACGTTCCACATTTCCCGTCGCACTAAGTTGGGTTCGACTTCGGTCTTCTACCCCTTTTTCCCCGACGACTCCGCAACTCTGTGTCGTGTCCACCCTTCGCAGGTATGTTTCTGTTACCTCCTCACTCCGCTCCTCTACGTCGGGCCAACTCCTAGTCTCCTACGTACGCCCTCACACCCCAATCTCGGTCACCACACTGGCCCGAGGGATCCGCTGGATCCTTTCCCTCGCAGGTATAGACCCCGCGAACGGAGTGGGGGCGTCATCAGCCTTCCTGGCAGGGGCGTCCCTTTCGGATATTCTCCGAACGGCGGACTGGTCTAGGGAATCCACTTTCCGTACATTTTACTTTCGCACTCCCCCTTCTGCTGGGATGTCTCTTCTTCAGCGTTAAAATTGCAAAATAGGAAGCCTCCTGTCATGTTATAAAATTGAAGATTATGCTAGCTTTAGTGTACTAATAATCTTAATTTTAATAAGGACAGGAGGCGAGTATTTTCCCTCCCTTTTTTTCCCTACCCTGACTCCTCGGGGGAGTGGATCTTAAGGTGATGGATTTTGGGATTCATGTTATAGTTACTCTATCTTCTGGACATATTCGGTATCCCTTCCATCTCTATCCCCTGTGTTTCCACCTAGACGGACAGTTTAGTTGTACAACATGCTTACACCTAACACATATTTAGCCTATGGCCAGCTTACAATCTGTCTGTACTGTTTAATTTACACCATTCTGTTAAAGCCCACAGGCGTGAACAGTTACGGTTCAGTACCTAACCGATTTTATACTCTCCTTTCAGTGTAACCCTCTTCAGGACCTCCACTGGTCGCTGGTTCGTTAACCTCACGACTCCGTAAGATGGGATGACGGCTTCGTTTGGTCTTTCCTCCTATCTCGTTACCAGGAGTCTCCTCAAGTTCCGCTCGCCAGAGACCGCAGTTACTGTTTCATTGAGTTTCTGGATGTTCGAGCTCTATCTGGACTTGGATGTCGCTTTAAGAAAGAGGAAGTGTACAGGCAGCATGACCCTTATATACTATGCTGCTCAGTGATTTATTTGTTACTCTTTACGTTTTTCTTTACTGCTGTGGAGTTTAGTAAAGAGAGTTAATGCAAAATACTCGCCTCCTGTCCTTATTAAAATTAAGATTATTAGTACACTAAAGCTAGCATAATCTTCAATTGTCCTATTTATAGTTAAATCCCCCCTCTCATAATATTGTAAAGCGCTACGGAATCTGTTGGCGCTATATAAATGGCAATAATAATAATAATAAACATGACCTGCACATTTTTATATTATAATAAAGGCCTGAGTGGAAAAAACTGATATCTTACATTCGATTAAATTAGTGAATCCATCAGAGCATAATGTGAGATGAGAGGCCAATACAAAACAAATAATAAGGTTGTATAACCTGAGGGGTAGGAGGTTGGTGTTTGTGTAATGAACTTTACTTTGTCAGGTGTCTGGGCTCGGCAGATTTTCAGACTTGGGAGCTATGTAGAGCATGTAGCCGAGTAGAGGTAAAACAAAAAGGAAAATAATATATGAATTTAATTAAGATTAAAATAAAGATTAAAATATAGTTAGGATGGGAAGACCTTTGTGCAAAGGACATTAGCTAGCAATTATCTTAGCTTTTGTCTTTCCTAAGCTGCGCTCCAGCATGCCCTGTCATACCTGGGGAGGCGAAAGTTGTGGTTGGGCAGGGTGAGAGTGTGCTTAGGGTCCCATGGTGAGCACAAAAGGGCTAGCTCTATGGGTAATTAACTTCACTGAATGATTGTTTTTGGGGGCGTTAAGTGTGCGTGTCTTCCCATTGGGTCTCCATGGTGTTGGGTGACCATTGCCACGCAAGCTATAATTTTACCCCTAACCAAGGGTGCAGCGGGGGAGGGGGGATCATAGTTGCTGCATTACAGTAATAAACTAAGGAGCTGCACAGGGGCCTTGGTAGCAGAAAGTTAAAACTATAAACAACAGGTAACGCTAAGAGATGACCCCTTGAAGTGTAGACTTTTCCTGTCCCAATCAGGAAGTTGGGCTTGTGGATTCCATCGGTCGTGGGATTAATGGTGCCGAATTGGCTGGATCCCAGACCCTAGGAGGAGCCCTTTGGGTAGGTATATCTGGAAGTCTCATTTTAGCAAGACATGCAGGTACCTCCGCATCAGAGGATATCATGTGGGTGAGTCCGCTGCGGGTGATTAACAGGGACCTCTGTGCTCCCCAATGCGTAAGCGGCTTGTGAAGTGGTTCAGTGACTTGCGCCATTATAATGTGGCTTGGGTTAAGTCCTGAAAGAATGATAATTAGGCATTCTCAAAGGTAAGAGGAGCTTTGCCTCAGGTTGCGAACATAACGTGGTTCCAGTCCTGAGAGGTGGCACAGCGCAGAATGACATCCCTGTTGGCTGTAGCAGGTGAGTTGGGAATGGTTGGTAGTTGGCACAGGCCATCCAGTACGATTTTCCGTCTAACTGCCGGTGGCAAGATGGTAGCGAGGAGTCTCCTTATATAATGTGGTAGCTCATCTGCAGGGATTTCAGTGGGTATCCCACTGATTTTAATGCGGTTGCGTCGGGTGCGGTCCTCATGGGCGGACATTTGCAGCGACAGACTATGCTTGGAGCTTTGTAGTTGCTGTATTGTGTTTCTCATATTTGTCATGCCGCTTTGTATGCCCATGATCTCTTCCTCTGTTGTTTGCATGCGGTCAGTGACATTTTGCATGTCAGCTTTTAATATTCCCACATCAGTAGCCAGCATTTTCTGAATGTCCTGCACCCAGTTTTGTAGGTCCTGCTTGGTAGCAAGTGTAATGTCATCTGGCGCAGCAATGGTTGCCGGCATGGCGTTTTCAATGTCCGGCTCCGTCTGAGTAGATGAGTGGGTCAGTGAGCGGGATAGCGTCTGTTCGGTGGGGGCCATTTTAGGCTGCACCTGCCGCTGTAATAAAGCGCTGATGTTGGGCTGTTCTGTAGAAGGGCCAGGGTGAGACTTTTGTGTGCATCTCTCGTTGGGGTTTCAGTGTGGTTTGGGTAGATGTCGCTGTCCGGATTGGAGTCACCATGTATGTAGGCTCCCCCGATGAGCTTCTCCAAGTCGTGGATGGTCAGTGATTGATAGGCCTTGGGTCTGCGTTTCAGCTTGCCAGTCCTCGGTATGTGGAGGAAAGTTGTGGTGTTCGATCCAGATGTCGATTCTGTGGCAATAAGGGCTTTCCGGGGTTCCTGGCAATAAGGGCTGGGTGATGAGAACTTCTCAAGATATTTGCGGATTATTAGCCTCCAAGGTGGGAACCAGCAGATATGGCGTCTGCCCAGCTTTAGGTCCTATCTCTGCCCTCCCCATATACTTTTATGGTGACTTTTGCAGATAAACTATTTGAACTTTTTTTTTCTAACAGATTCTAATAATTTATGATGCTGATCCAAAAAAATTAAATCAAGGCCTATGTTACCAAAATAAAAATCATTCCGTTCGCATAGCAGCACACAAGCTAGCGGATACATTTACAGGCTTAGGGAATCTACGTCAAAGTCAGCTCCATGGTGCCTGAGCTACGGTGGATATATATCAGAAATTACGGTAATTTAATGGGGAGGGTTATATTTTCAATAGTACGTCCTAACTAGTGAATTGTAAATGTGTTTCCTATCTGTCATAGACTGTGCTCTTTTTCCAGTTGCTAGAGAGCAGGAGAAATTCCAATACAATCAGCCAAGAGAGAACCCATCCTCCCCCTTGCACAAAGATCACCCCCCACTCCACAAATCTTCACAGTCCCTTCTATAACCTAATAATTTCTCTGCCTGGGCTGCTGAGTACCTATATTATGCAGAAAGCTGCAAAGAGACCTCAGCCTTTACCATCCTGTGCACTTATGGTAAAACCACTATTGCACATTCACATACCATCACATCCCGAGGGAAGCGGGCTCCAGTGGATTACTCTGAGTTTTTTGTTTCAGAACCTCAAGTCTTTATATGGGCAAAGAGAAATTAAACAAGCAGAAACACTCTTCACTGCATTCAATCTAATCTCAATTAAAACAGACAGAGGGAGATAAAAAGATCATGTTATGTTCTGTAACAAAATGTATCTCTCTCGCCCTACGAAGGGATTGCACATATGAAAAATTAAGGAGCAGAACAGCACACATAGAATACTTGAGCATCTAAATATATCACCTACTGAATCCCTAGAGGGACCTGTCTAAACTATTGTGAGCCAAACTCATTTATCTAAAATGAAGCTAGAATCAAGATCTTGAACTATTATGTTTATACACCTGGGAACATTCTAAAGGAGCTTTAAAATATTAACCCTTTCATAGCACAGCAATGATTTGATCACAGGGAAAATGCACAAAACAAACAGTTGGTAGTGGAGAAAATATAGACCAATTTTGCCAGAAAAAAAAAAAAAAAGTAATCTTATTTTGTAATATGGTTGTTAACTCTCATCAGCGTGTTGCAAATCCCTATTTATTGAATCCGCTTATATTATTTTGGCGTTCGTGGTTTTAAAGTGACATTCCAGTCACCATAACAACTTCTTCTGAATTAAAATCAAGGTTAAACAATTATAGAGCAGCTTAACTCCAAAGTCTTTAATCTGCCGACCATCAGCTCTGTCCTCCACTTCTGTTCTAGTTATTGGTTTAAATCAGGAAACCTAGGACTGGATGCTGACGACATGCCTACCAGTAGCTACCTATTTTCAAAAACAGAGTGAAAAAGGTGCATATCTTTTTCATTCACTTTAGTAAAGGGGGATCTACTGATTAAAAGTTCAAACTGGAATGGTAGAGAAGGGGCAGAGCTCATGGACAATACACTGAAAACGTTGAAGTCAAACCATTTGATAACACCAGGAGGTGTCACGGCACAGCCCGAGCCCTGCACCGTGCTGTCCACCAGGGGGCTTCAGTTTCTGTTTGCATTATTCTGCTTCCTGACCCCTGGCCTGGATTAGGCTGTGCTGATCCACCTGCAGCACTTTTCCAATTAGGGTCAGCCGCATCTAATTTGCAGACTGTAAAAGCCAGCCCTGCCTGAAACCTAGCATCTGGTCATTTTTTTTTTTTTTTGCCTGTTTGGTGTTTCCTGCCGGATCTTTGCTACGCTACTGACTGATTTCCTGGACTCTGACCTCTGTCTGCTTTACCGACTACGTTACTCTGCTGCCAGCCCTGACTTCTGCTTCTTGTCTGACCCTGCCTTTGGATTTCCATTTAACAAAATGTATACATTGCAGTACCAAGGAAAACACACAAAAATCTAGTTCTTCTTAAATTCCTGCCCAGTTTATGGTACCATAGCACTAAACAGGCAAGGTATCTACTCTGTCACAGGTCTTTCCCAATTCTCAGTACCTGCTGCACCATTTCTTTTTGCAACTGCTATGAATCAGATGTGACAGCAGAGATGTAAAAAAAACCAAAAAAAACATTCTTATATAGTACCAATGAATATAAATAATTATACAATAAAATGGCATCAAAGAGTCATCGCAAATTTTATCACATGACAGGAGGCTTCCTATTTTGCATAACTCTCTTTACTAAACTCCATAGCAGTAAAGAAAGTGAAACATTTAAACCAATCAAAATGCAAATAGGGAGTATATCATCCCAGCAAATAGGCTCCTCCTCCTCTTTCTTTACTGCTCCATCGCAGACAGGTCAGAGTTTTTGGCTCTTCCCTATTTACCTCATAATATAGTTTTTTCTGTACATTAATAATTGTCACTTTTGTCTATTTACTTTGTTTACTTTATTTCTTCTTACTATCTTTCCTTGATATCTCTGTATTTTTAAACTTTCCCTTACTGGGACTCTTTATTTTGTTCCCCTAGTCCCAGTGGCTTACTCCGTTTTTCCCGCTCTTTTTTTCCCGCTCGTTTCCCGCCCTTGGGCGGTCCCCCGAGTTTAGGCAGGTTCCCTGTCTTTGCCCCTGCTTGCCGCCCTTGCCGGCTTCCTCTCACTCATTTCCCGCGGCTCGGCGCCAGCCGCGGCTACACTCGCGGCGGCCATCTTTAAAACCGCATCTCGCGAGATTACGGACGCCATCTTGAAAGTGCCGCGAGTGCCGCCAGTACCGCAAGGGACACACACGGACGGACTTTCTAACCGCAAAATACTCCACAGAGGTCAGTTAAAGTGAATGCTGTGTAAAGCACATAAGGTATTAACCTGTGCTTACTTGGGGTGCTGCCCTTAACTGTGCTGCTATAGAGGTCGCTTTGTGGCCACCTCTACAACCCTGGGTGAGGCCCAGAACAAAAATCCCAACTAGTGGTGTTGTATTCTGCCCTGCTGGGGCCATATATATATTATTATTTTGCCACCATTGGCACTATATACCCTGCTTACCACTATATACCCTGCTGGGGTATCACATATATATTTACAACCCTGCTGGGGTTATTTGGTTTTTTCTCCTCAAACCAATTTCATTCCTTGTATAAGCCCTGCTGGGGTAATTTTGTACTCTGTACAACAAAACACGTTATTGCACCCTGCTGGGGTCTGCATAACAATATAAAACAGCTTAGTCCTGTCTACACAGCTTACTGACCTCTATAATACGCCCTGTGCCAACACATATTCAGGCATTATGGAGACCTCTCAGACTACAGAGCTCCAAACCATGGTAAATGAGGCTGTATCCGCCTCCATGGAGAAAGTTCTCTCCAAAATGATGGCCTCTAATCCTGACAGGAAGAAACCATCAAAAACCCACACAGCCCGCCATGACTCAGATTCTGACGAACCAGAATCACGCAAGAGCCCAGAAACCTTCACGGGCAAACGCCATTGGAAAGGCGAAAAGGGTCACCAAAACCCTAACAAAGGCAAAGACCCCGCTAAACGCACTAAACCCGCTATAGCCGCCACCCCGAACCCGCCACACGAGTACTCTTCGGAAGAAGAAGACTCTCACGCCAAATCCATGGCCATCTTAGACGAATGGCAAGCGGACGAGTCAGATTCCAACGAAGACGTTTGGGGCTCAGATTCAGGATCCCAATCCTTCTTTCCACAACAAGCGTTCACGGGAGAACCCCAAGAACCAGACACGGAAACCCCGCAGGAAGGCCAAAAACTTTTTGATCCACGAAAAATAAGACACCCACGCTCAAGCGACTGGACACCACCCGACCACTTAGCGAGGTTCATGCACCTCTGGTTACGGAAGTCCATGGACAAGACAGTCCGCAACCGCTTGAGGTCGGAATGCCCACGACCTTTTCTACCTGACCATGTTGCGGACACTCCAGAATTCGACCAGGTGATGACCACCTTTATGTCGCGAGGTGGCCGCGACCCACGCAAAGGTGTGGAGAAAGGGTTCAAAGGGGTACAGGATAAACTTCTGGACACTGTGGGACCATTATCCAGAATTATGTACTTGGCCGACGACGCCCTAGCTAAAGCCGATCAATTTGACGCTACTATGGTGCGAGAATGGGCGCATGATGTGCGGGAATGGGCACAAAGGTGCTTTTGTTTTGTGGGTAATGCCAATGTCGCCTTATCATCCGAGCGACGTAAAGCAGCACTTCTCCGCATTGACGGGAAATTGGTGGAGTTGGGCACCAAAGAACTAGGTCCTATGGCACAGGGCAAGCTCTTTGGAGAACTTTTCCTAAAAGAGCTAAGTAGACATGTAAACGTCTACACATCCTTAAACAAGGCTCAGACATCAATGCGTAGAGTCTTCAGACAAAACCCCTCCAGGGGTGTTTTTGGACGGGCTGGCCGCCAAAGGGGCCGTGCTGCCAGCCGCTTCTGGCCATCAGGCCCCCGCTCTACGAGACCTCAACCTTTCTACCCAGAGGTGGGATACCGCCCGTACTCCTACACTCGAGGTGCAGACAGAGGTCGAGGACCACGCACCCGAGGCAGAGCTCGATTTTCCTCAGGTAAGCAACCATTTTACTCACTTCTCACTCCCAATGCATACAGCAGGTCGCATATCTCTTTTCTTCCAGGAATGGACCTCCATCTCCACGGATGCATGGATCCTACAGACGGTACAAGGTTACGTCATAGACTTCGTAGACCAACCACGACAGACAGAACTACCACGTCCTATCCACTGCTCAAGGATAGACACCTCTCTCATCGACGACGAACTTCAAACCCTATACTCGAAAGGGGCGATCGAACCCGCCTCCGACCCTCAAGGTTTCTTCAGCAACATCTTCTTGGTAAAGAAGAAAACGGGAGACCTACGACCCGTCATAAACCTACGACAACTCAACGAATACGTCACTTACAATCACTTCAAGATGGAAGGCATACATCTTCTACGAGACCTGCTACAAGACAAGGATTGGTTCACGAGACTAGACCTCAAGGACGCTTACTTATCAGTACCCGTCCACCAATCCTGCAGACAATACCTTCGTTTCCACTGGCAAGGCCTTCCTTGGCAATTCACGTGCCTCCCCTTCGGCCTCAGTTCGGCCCCATGGTGTTTCACCAAACTGAGGAAACCCGTGGTCGCACATCTTCGAGCGCAAGGAATTCGTTGCATCATA